GTGTTGGAGCTCAAGATTCATCGTTTGGAAGAGATGAATGCTTTGGAGAACTCAACATGTGTTAAAATGGGTGATTTCATTCAGTTGCTGAATGCAATTAAAAATCTAAACTTGGATGTGTTCCTCAGTGTGTTCAGCAGCTATCTCTACAAACAGGAAGTGAAGGGTTTTTTAACTCATATCTCCTCCATAAAACCCTGTAGAACCATCAAACAGAACCTGTGGTACCATCAGAACCTTCTGCTGCTCATGAGTCAAGAAGTTCTTTGATCCGACTTATAGTTTTCTCAAAGTGATTGTTTGTCTGAGGCTTACTTTTTACTCTGTTTCTGCCTGAAGGGCACAGACCCTGTAGGATTTCAGACCTCATCTTTGGTTCTGTTCTGATCCGATCCCGTTTGTTCCAGCAGGACTGTGGCAGAGATGAGGAGAAACTGAAAGCAGACAATGATGACACTCATCTTTGAGGCATTGGCTGAGAAAACAAAACCTACAGAATGCTGCGTTCAGGTGCCGTGGTAGACAACTTCAGTTCTGTTAGTGGTTGAGTTCAGATCTGCCAGGAAAAAGAAACTGTTGATTTGATGGCTTAAACCCAAAGTTTGTTTCTTTTTCTGTGTGGCGTTCTGTAGAGAACAGCAGCAGAGGAAGAACCCGACTCTCTGTTTTCAGAGGCGACAGTGAAGGCATCATATCTTCCAGTCAATGTCTTCATCCGTCTCTGACTTGCTTCACTTCACAAAAATCAAGACATTTGGTTTTGTGTTGCAGCCAAAGTCGTGACCATGAGGTGAGTCTTTGTTTGGATCTAAGTTCTGTTCAGGACCGGTGCGGCCCAGCTCAGTTCACCTGAACAGGTGTAAGCTTGTTGTGTTTACTGTATATCAGTTTCTGTCATTATTAAAATATGTGGTTGATATTATGCTTAAAGAAAAAGGTCTGACTGGTTCGAACATGTTTGAAGGAGTGAAGCACTGTGATTCAGGGAAAAGGTTTGTGGAATATTCTTGACACATAAAAACTTCCAGATTGTTTTATATGTTTAAAAAGATTACTAAATCAAATTTATTGAGAAAGATGCTGTGGTGTTTAGTGAAGCCATCGTATGATTCATTTTGTTCGTTTTCAAAATACTTTTTCTCAAATACGGAGATCGTTAAAGGTATCATATCATGCTTTTAAATCCTTCTTTTTCACGTCTAAATCATTCACTTCTGGTCTATTTAAAATAAAACTGCAACGCTTTGGTCTTAATTCCTCATTTTTGTTGCTCCACAGACTCCGTGCTTTCCTTGCTTTTACCCCTGTTCTGAGCTGCGTCTCAGAGCAAGCTGTTTTGGTGCGGTCTCTTTAAATACAAYTGAGATATTTCACACCCCGCCCCCTCCAAGTCACTGAATGTTCGACTCCACCCCGTTTGGCCATGTTAGTAGTTTCATAGCAAAAACACAGTTATCTACCGAATAAAAACTGTTTTTAAGATAAAATAAGATAAGATAAAACTGTATTGATCCCACAGTCTGGAAATTTTCACATTACTGCAGCTTAATACAAGAGAGGCTGAGAAGAATAATGAAAGATTAATAAAAAATAACAAACAAAACCCCACAATATACACGTGATATATAGTAATGTACCAATGCACATATACACATATACATAAATGCTTATTTATATACGTATATACACCATAAAGTACAGTACAAAAATGAATGTATATGAAGGTGCATATTAGAAATGGCAGATGGCAAGAAAGTATAAAGATGTCAACAACAGTAGACTTGTCAATCCAGCCTTACATGTACGAGCCAGAGTCTGACCGTGTGCAAGGCTCAGAATGACAAACCTGCAGAACCACGTCTTCAAACGAATGTGTCACAATGGTGCGTTATTTATTTACACACTATGTC